AAGGAATAGTCAATAAATTACTTAAATTTGCAGATAATATTAAGGTCTTGGGTGTTGTTAGCTGTGAAGAGGATGCTGTTGATTTACAAAATGATTTAGATCATTTAGTGAGTTGGGCAAATAAATGGCAGATGGGTTTTAATTATAGTAAATGCAAAATAATGCATGTGGGTTATCATAATTTGAAGTATAATAAATTAAAAAGATGACTTTATAGAACCGGTAGGAATGGAGGATTTTGATATAATGGGAATAACTGAAACATGGTTAAGCATAAATGATTTTGATGACAGAAATTTCTTTGAAATACAGGGTTACAGAGGGGAGGAGTGGCTTTATATGTAAAATGTTAGTTACATCCTGTTGAAATTGAGGATATCAAAGACAATAGCAAAGAGATTGAATCCATTTGGGTTTCTATTAGTAAATGTAAAGTTATACAATGGAAAGTCTTGACTTTGTTGGGAATTGTATTTTGAATTTAAACGTTTTAAGCCCGCAAACTTATCACTGACCCACCGGGAGACCAGTTTGCGTGGCACTACATAAAAATCATATAGTGATAACTTCTTTATCATATTTATTGAAGTCAGTCTAATTATATCTTGAATTCGAACTTTGGTGATTGAAATCGATATTGAATGCTTTACATCATCGTTTAGTAATTGAAATTAATATTCATTGCCTTACATCATCCCTAAATTTATTTCATGTCTGAGTACCGGTTTACATGTTATAGGTAATTATGAGTTCAAGACCCTGCATTTCTATGTTAAAGATTAATTATAGATACGGGTAAATTCTCATATTTTTATTTCTGGATTGATTTACTCCACGTTTTAAAGACTAAACATTAACACAAAGAGGTCTGGTTTTTGTTACAGACTATAGCGGAAGTTGCTCACGACATGGAATGGCAGGAGGTGGCCGTCTTTCACGCAGATGACGAACACAGCGTTGAAGTGACCAGAACACTCGGGAACATAGCAACAGGTGGAAAATTGTGCATTATTAAATCGGAAGTCATCTCATCAGAACAAAACGGAAAGAGATTTGAAACAAGAGCATATCATAAATTACTTAATATAATTTCTACAATATTGAAAGATAACACACCTATTATCATTATTGGCCAAGGAGAAGTTGTTCGCCATCTTGTTAAGGCGATGGGTGATGTCCCCCAGACAGTCTCTCGTTTTCAGTGGCTATTTTCATGGGTCCCTGACACCGTTTCTCTTGCTAGACTCCAGAATACATTGAACCTAAAGAATGTCTTCTCTCTAGCCCCATATCCGGAAGCTATTCCACAACTGGAGCAATACTGGACGAAACTTCAGGATTTAACAATCACAAAGAGACAGCATGACCGCTGGCTTCTAGAGTACTTTATGAACATAAAAAAATGTAGAGTTCCAGATCTTGTTGATTCAGCCCATAAACATTTACCACTTTGTTCAAACCTTGTTTTTATTGAGTCTCCAGGACAAGTGTTGTCGAGAACAGCTCATGCTATTCCAAGTGTTCACGCGCTGTTTACCTATGCGTATGCACTTCGGAAGGCCTGGGAAATCAAGTGTCTAGGCAAGAGTGGTGTTTGTTCAGCACTTCGCCTGATGTCGCACCAAGAATTTGTCTTGCAGTATCTAGAACCTTTAGAATTTATTCACAGTACTAAGAATAGAAGTCCACCAGAAATAAGTGGTCGGAAATCATATGGCAGCAGACCAGGAGAAATTGATTATCTTCATTTAGGCTTAACTGTATATACATATGATTCAACTGTGGGAGTTAAACCACAACAGGCGAGTAAATTTCACATGTATTTCACACCATTATATACTTAATTTATATAACCCAATGTATTCTTTATATAGTCCTAATTGTGTTCAAATATAGGCAAGTGTTAGAGAATGTTGTTAGACATGTATATGTTTAAACCCCTTCCAACTATTTTTGATGTTTCTACCCGATATTAGTTGAACAACAACAAAAAACACACAAAACAAACAGTTGTACAAATGAACCAGCTAAAGGGATATTACTATACATCTATCTAATCAGTTTCTCTGCTATCGGTTGTAGATACTAATTTTCAGTTTCATGTGGATATTGACAACTTAGAGCTCGCCGTTATTTACCGCCATCAAACAAAGGATTTTTATTTGATTATTATTATTTTTTCATTTCCTGGTGCACAGTGAAGTTTTAGTAACAAACACATTATACTGTACATCTTAGTAGGATATATCTTGTGCGTACAAATTTATATTACTGTATATCTTAGTAGGGTGTATCCTGTGGTTACAAATAAATTATACATACATCGTAGTAGGATGTATCCTGTGCGCATAAGTGCATTATACTGTACATCTTGGTAGGACGTATCCTGTGGATAAAATTACATGATATTGTATGTCTTAATAGGCTGTATCCCGTGCGTGAAAATAAATTATACTGTACGTATTAGTAGGGTGTATCCTGTGCTTACAAATACATTTTATTCTGATTGTTACTAGTACGTGTCCTGTACACATAGAAGTTCGTTTTTTTTGTTTTGTTTTTATTTTCTCTGCTTAGAAAATCTTATATTATTTCTGTTTTTAAAGATGGTAGTGTTATTTCTATGAATAGCTTATTATTATTTGTGTATAGTTGGTGTTCTACGACAGCGTTCAAGCCCATGTGATCGACAAAGATTTCAAATATCTCCCCTCTAAGTGCCCAGAGAGTGGGTGCAGCCATTGTATCACGTAAGTTTTGAGACAGGATTAGGATATTGATTTACCCACATATAGTGGAATGTTTATGTGATAGCGTCTTGTCTGTTTGTTGTTAAGCACAGTTGTTAAGCACAGAGCTGCAATACAGATACTTGTACTCTTCTCACAGCGTTAATGATACCCAATTTTTAGCGTTATAATAAGCCATCAGACTTACGTTTAGAAACAGGGGAGGGGGCGATAGGGTCTTCCAATTTAAGTTGAACTTATAACGTGCTGTAAAAAAATACGCATGGGCTGGCGTGCCTTAGTGGTTATCGTACCTGGATTATGAATACGACGATTTATGCTTCGCGACCTGTTGCCGTAAAAACGCACTTCACACTTTAGGGCCATTGGTGCATTATAAGAATGACAGTCAAATCCAATTATTTGGTGAGACAAAGTAGCCCAAAACGGTGAGTGCTATTGACTAGCTAACTTCCTTCTAGTCTGTTAGCTCAAAAGTAGGACAGCTATGCGCATGTAGCCCTCGTGTAACCTTGCATGAAAATTCTAAATGAAACTGAAGAAGAAAATATAAAATGATGGTGCCACCTAGTGAACGTAATTGGAATTATAGGATCATTACATGTGAAAATGCGAAGCTTATATATATAAACCACGTAAATAATTTGTAGACACTCATAACATAAACGAAATTTTGTTTAAAACAAGAAAATAAATACTGACTTAGTCTCAAAGAAGACAAGAGTTTTAGCAGCACTTTGTTATTCAATTTTGTGTTGATAGAATCATGGATATTTGATATCAAGATAGCCAACACACAGTCAAATACAAAGTTCATAAACATCAATTTATTGAGTAAAGAAAGCTTTATGTTTGAGGAATAATATTATTATTTTAAATTTAAGAACCCATGAATGAAGGCAATAGAGAATGTGTTATCATATGTTAGTGGTCTAAGCGCTTTTTATATCACTAATTTTAAATTCAATATAATTCAAATTAATCGCTACATAATTTTTCAAGCTCAGTATTATGGCTTTACAATTTCATTGTTTGTTATATAGCAAACTGAAAAACAAGTCGATATTTTCGCTAGGGTACGCCAAGGCCGACTGGAAAATTCTGAAAGGGAATCTCGTGAGTTTTTCATGATTGGGCAAAAGGCAGATGTATTGATTCCAATACTTCTACCAATTCACAAATCAGGATCTACGCCGCTAGAGTGCAACACCTCCATTAACCCTGACGCTATACAAGACTTAGAAGCAGCATTGTGGATACTGGATAAAATTAATAGTGATCCCAAAATTGTACCAGGTATCAGATTAGGAACAGTTGTTATCGACACGTGCGGGTCTTTTTTGAAAGTTACCCAACACTTATCCACTTTTCTTGGCGCTCAGGCGGAGAGTTCGGAGACGATTGATGTCAAATCCATTTTAGCTGTTATCTCAGCCACGTCTGCTGAAGAATCAAGAACCATAGAAGATATACTAACTCCTCTGAACATCACAAGTGTGAGTACAGGTGACCGCTTGGCTGACAATAAAAGGAGTCCCTACAGCTTCCAGATTGCTGTCCCCGCTACCGTCAGAGCCAAAGCGACGGTTGAGGTCCTGAAACACTTGGGTTGGTCATTCATTTCTGTAGTTCATAGTAAAGACCAAGAAAGTGTTCAAGGTTTTCAAGTATTCAGAACAGAAGCTAAAAAAAACTTAATTTGTATTGCTAATCAACTATCGCCAGAGGATGTAGGTGATTCTGAAGATGAAGTACAAAAATTTAATAAAACAATTAGGAAATTGCTTGAGGCTAGAGCCAATGGTGCAAACGTCGTCGCTCTTTGGCTCAATAAACGTGATTATCAGCTCTTCTTTTCAGCCATTCAAAAAGCAATCACAGAAGAAATGATCAAACGAAACCACTTTATCTGGCTAAAAAATGGCATCTGGGGAGAAGATATGGATATTTTACAGAATTATGGAAACAAAGTTGTTGGAACTCTTGTTTTTAAACAGGGCCAGAAAGATCACATTCAGGAATTCCTGACATATTTTCGGCGCCTTAAACCAGAAAACAATAAGAGAAATCCTTGGTTCCAGGAATACTGGAAACAGCAAGTTGGGTGTGAGAGTAAAAAATGCAATAGTTCTTTGCAGTTTACTCCAAATCCGAAAACTATTGCTACTATGCAAGCAATAGTGGCTGTTGCAGCAGGTTTTTCTCGCTTGCACTATGAAGTTTGCCAAACCGAAAGAGGGCTCTGCCCTCGCTTGTTACAGCAAACGTCGCTACGTCACTTCCTGAACGAGTACATCAGGTACACCGCATCCGCGAGACCAGATGAGAAGGAAAAAATGTTTATGTTTACGAAAGATGGAGTTGGAGATATTCCAGTGGAAATTTTCAACCTCAGGAAAGGGGTTGGAAATATTTTAGCTTACAAGAAGGTAAGTTTTGACCGTATATTCAGCGAAAATGATTGTTATGAAAGAATTTCATCTTAAATAAGAGGACAGTGAATTTATGATTGATCATTTCTACATTCCCCCCAAAATAAAATTCATCACCATATTTATCGTTAGTTGGGTCGTGAGATATAAAGAATAAGACCAGAGAGCGATATGTATTGTTCCGATTGTTTGTCCTCAAACTAATAAGAAGCGGATTTTCAATGAATATTCGAGACTTAGTTCTTTACTTAACAGTGCAGCTTGGATACTTAATGTATGAAAAATCTCGTTATTATCTTTATTGAAGTCAAGTGAAGTTAATTCTATATACAATCAAATTGCTTAGAGTGGATAATGTAAAGGATGTATCACCTGTAGACCACCTTTAACACAAACTAAGTCAACGTTTAGACTAAAGTTTAAATCGAAACTAATGGAACAATAGTGAATTTATATGGATACTAGTTTCGACATTTCATATGTCCTGTTTAGTCCAATGATTGTTGTTGGTTTTTGGGAGAAGCACATACACTGCTTATTTTATAACGTAAGTTCCACTTCTTAGAACGGCATCTGACGTCAGAAATAGGTTCAACTTAAACTGAATTTCAGATATGTTGAAGGTTGGCAACCTTTGGATTAACGAACTTTCGAGAACTCTTCTTTTGATATAATTTGTAGTTCTATGTATTATCTTGACTGATTCCCAGCTTATTTTATGATCAAATTCTCTTATATATAGAAAAAATAGCATTATTTTCTTGAGCATTTTTAACATTATTTTTGTGATCCGTGAGTCTACTATCCACATTGCTACCTGTTTCACCTACATAAACTTTTTCACAGACTTGGCAAGGGGCTATATAGACACCCTGTTCTTTATCTTGAGGTGCATCATTTTTTGAAGGTACGAACATTATTTTTAATGGTGTTGAGATATTTATAAACAACCTTGAAATTGTTATTTATCAGGCATCTCTCTAAAGCCACAATATTAGAATTGTAGTAATTGTAGTTATGGCTAAATATATTTATATTTTTTTCACATGTAGATCGTGCTGTTCGTTCGTTACTGTTCCCTAAAGAATCTTTGTTTTTTCATGGGCATTTTTGATAAAATCTTTAGGGTACTGTAGGCGTTCAAATATTTCATAAATATTTAATATTTCATCATCAAGGGTAATGTATGTCAAATTCTATAAGCTCTTAAATATATTGAAGTTATAATTGATATTTTAACCGTTTTATTGTGGCGTGAGAAAAAATGAACGTAAAGAGTTTGCTGGTTTTCTAGAGATAGAAAGAACGGGTCCCATTTATGCTCTAGTTATGAGAATGTCTAAAAGCGAATTATTGCTTCATAGTACTATAAAAATTCGTTAATTTTGTGGAAGAAAGCTTGAAATTCATTTATATCATTAAACCAAACAGAAAATATGTCATCAACATATCGGAATCAAAGGATTTTCTTTATATTCTTATTCACTGTAGGAAGTAATTCTCTTTCAAAGTATTGAGATTAAGGGGTTGCTCATATCCATTCCACATTTGTGTTTGTAGTATTGTCCCATACATGCGAATACATTATCTTTAACACGTATTTCTAATAGAGAGATAAAAGTGTGAACCAGGATCGGAAGCGGAATATTGAGTTCAGGTAATTTTTTATTTAAAAAGTCTATTGTTTCATCAATTGGTACTGTTGCGTCAGCGAGGTCACATGACTAGTGTCACGCCACCTCTCGAACCTTCGGGAATAGTCGGGAGATTACTAGATATAGGGTAGTCTGGTATATATATAAGAGGGTGACAACGTGACGGGACAATGTGTGTAGGTAATGAGTAATTGAACTGCAGTCAGAGAGAGACGTATTGTTGAAGTTAACGTCGTTATTATAGTTTGTTATAGCGCGACTTTTGAAAATAAGTGTATCGTAAAATTGTATTCGGAAAGAATAAACCAGTTTTATTAAGTAAGGACTTGTGTCGCTAAAGTTTCGTCGGAACGAAGTTACGGAAAATCAATTAACAAACGGAGACGTAACAGTACGTTTATAAACAAAGAGTCAACGTCAAACTGACCATTTCCTCTTCATTTATATTAGTTTTTTCTAATTTCATTGGATAGATCTATATTGTTCTTAATATATGGCAATGAGTACTTCCCAGAACAGGAGAAAAGTGTTATGGTAGCCATTCTGATAACAGATAGGCAACTGATCCAACACAGGAAATAACAGGTCTAAGAGGGAAGTTATCTTTATGTGTATTAGGCAAACCATACATATAGACACAACAACAACAATCGTTGAACTGAAGAGAATATGTGAAATGTCGTAACTAGTATCAATATAAATTTGGTATTGTTCCATTACTGTCGATTTAAACTTTATTGTAAATTACTTTACACGGTATTGTGTATTTACCTGTTATTATAACTCAATGTTGTATAGAAACATGTCTGTTATGAAATGTCCATCCATATACAAAAGATGCCTTAAGTACCTATTTATCTGAATTATTTTCCATAACATTCACCTATCTCTCTGACTGCTTACTTGCCTCATTATTCATCTGTCTGTTCATCTATTTATGCCAAGTTCCCGAAGATGTACAAAAAGTTATATGGAAATATAGATTTTGTCTAGAAATATGCAACTGACTGTGTCGTTTGATATTTAATGAATAAATTTGAACTATAGCGAAAATATTTCTATTAAATTTTGACTATAACCAACGAGTAACTTGTTTTATATATAGAGAGAGTCAGATATAAGATTCCGATTCTTAAAAATGTATTTTAATCAAGTAATCAAATCAATATTTTATACTTGTAGGAAATGTAACATCCAAATCATTTTAATATAACTATAGAGAATTTTCCTTTATTAGCAGTTTATATTCAGTGTTCTTTGTGGTTATTTCATAGGTTGGAGAATTTCACGATAGGTTGAGCAGTCTCGACACTATGGTAACATATGGAAGTCATGGTGAAGAAGTACTTTTCGAAAACATTACATCGGAATGTAGATTAAAATGTAGTCACTGCGAGAATCTAAACCATAATTATCTGGTAGAAAATTCTGCGAATGATTTATATTTGGGTGCGACCTTTGGTGTTCACAAGTCATCCAAGAACCCTTTGGTATGTGGAAAACTGAATCCGTCCACTGGGCTTCAGCACGTGGAAGCATTCTTATGGGCACTGGACCAAGTAAACAACGACCACCGACTTTTACCTGGAGTCACTTTGGGAGCTGTGGTATTTGACACGTGTAGTAGTAGAGAAAAAGCATCACAAGAGATTTTCAACTTTTTGAGTCAGTCATTGATAGGTCCTGAACCTACTGGCCAATCAACGATATTTTCTGAGCCTGCTAATCAACCACTTTTAAGTCCCGAGCCTGCCAATGCTGGTGCTAGTTCCAAACTTCCATTTGTAAAGCATATTTTGGGGTTCGTTGTAGGTCAACAGTATGAAATCGTCAAACCAGTTGTAGACCTTACCGTTGCCCAGAAACTGACCACGTTGGCTCCAGAGGTTATCTCCACAGAATTCAACAACTTGAACTGGTATGATTACCTCTTAAGACTTTCACTGCCAGCTAACCTGATAGCTAACGCGATAGTTAGTATTATGCAAGTATTTCGCTGGAACTATATTTCTGTAGTATATTCTAGCGAAGTTCGTCAGCAAACAGACATTTTCCATAACTTGAAGATCGAAGCTGAAGAACAGCATATTCAACTGGCCTTGACTGAGAAAGCTCCAAGTAGTAAAACGAGCTGGACAGTGACCCTTCGAAGGCTGAAAGCTAAAAAAGAAGAAGGAGCCAGGTAAAAAACGTATATAATCAAGAATTTTGTTGGATCTGCTACATTTATTCAGTTGTTGTGCTCAATACGCGCTTTTTTGGGAAGTTTCATTATAAATTGTGAAGTTGGTCCATTAGTAAAATCAGTGTATGGGAAGTTTCAATGTAAATTGTTAATTTGTTGCATTAGAAATATATTGTATGAGTTCAGAGAATAGCCACTAGGATGACACCTGGGATGGTGGGATTTTCCTATGAGGAGAGACTAAAATATCTAAACATGTTTTCTCTGGAGAGGAGAAGGGTCAGAGGAGATTTTATTGAGGCGTTTAATATTATTAAGGGTATTGACAATATAGATCATCAAACATTTTTGTGTTTAGCAGTGAAAACAATAGAACAAGGGGTCATAAGTTAAAATTTTGGCAGCATAGGAGTCATCTGCAGTTTAGACAGTATTACTTTTCAAACAGTGTGGTTGGCTTTTGGAATGAGCTACCTTCAAGGGTAGTGGAGGCAGAAAGTTCAAGAAAAGATTGGATGAATACATGAGTAGTAAGGGGTGGTTATAGTTGGGAACTGAAAGGGACATCCTTGATGGGCTAATAAGCTCCTTTTTGTCCCTTTAATATTTTATAAACTTTTATGAATTTTATAAGTTTAATTACAAATTGTGAGGCTGAGCAGCTAGAAAAGTAACAGCTGAGAAATTCCAGTATAAATTGTGAGGTCTGTCCGCCAGGAAATTAGTAGCCGGGGAAGTTTCATTATAGACTGTGCGATTGGTCAGTTAGAAAAGTAGCAGCTGGAAAGTTTCGTTATAAATTCTGAGATTGGTCATTTTCTAACAGGAAGTCTGCTATATAATAAGATTCTCAACTCTGATGTTAAGACAAACTTGTGGTTTTATCAGCCGTCAGTGTTAACTTAGAACACGATAACATAATAACTAGACGAGATAACCGCTTACTGGCTGATTCAACAATTTATGTCAAGGATTCTTATTAAAACTTAACCATTTTTTTACACCCTTATCTCCACTCCTAAAATCAGGTTTCAGTCCATCCACATCACTGAGCAAACTATTCAGGAAAGTGAACATTAGAATTATTTTGTATCTCTTGGCCAGCGAAACATTAATTTCTCTATTCCTCTTTTAATCATTCAAAACATGCTAGTCGTCAAAATTTGAAATAACCAATGAATAAGTTTGGCGATATTTGTTGGATACACTGGACAAATTAAATATTTTAGGGAAAAGAACGAAGGATTTAAATATAATAAAATCGATTAGCCCACGTTATAGTTATCATCTGTTTTTCTTATGCACTCTTCCCACTGTTGAAATCAATACTTTTTAAAAACTCTACAGAGTAGCTTGTACTTTTGCATCAAATCTTTTTATCTGTTACGTTGTAACAGTAACTCATTATACATTTACATATTAGCGTAAATTATAATACTGTAAAACATAACTTTAATAGTTTAAAACACTCTTCGATGCAAGTTGTAATCACATTACTTTTTATTTATTCAGGTTACGATAATTATAGGGTTAGGGTTGTATTTTGGAGCCTTTTTTGTTTCAGAGTTGTTGTTCTGCTATTGAGTGATGATCATCTGAATCAACTTCTCCAAGCCCTCCAAAATTCTAGAAAGGAAAAATCTGGCCAAGATGGACACTTTGTGTGGGTCTCTTATGGTAACATAGAAGGTTTTCAACATTCTCCCCGACTCTCGCTTGCTGCCATCTGTGTCCGACCAGTATTTCATAACATTCCTGCTTTCCAAGAATATTTCCAAAGACTTGATATTCGAAAAAATTCCAGGAAGCCCTGGTTTCGAGAATATTGGGAACAGATATTCAGATGCCGGGGAGCAGCCTGTTATAATAGATTCCAGAGTAACCTCCAAGACTTTCCATTCAGCCAAGACCCTGGTGTATTCAATGTAGTTGCTAGCGTCTTTGCTCTCGCCCATGGTCTGGAAGAGACAAGAACCAGTCTTTGTCCTGGCGTGTCTAGAGGATTCTGTCCGGATTTCAAAGAAAGTCCTGATTTGAGAGAAATAATATTCAATTCAACAAAGCTCGCACGACTCGACGGACTTAAAGGAAGAATCGAATTATTTACACAGAATAACTATGGAACTGGAGGCTTAGACATTTTAAACTTTCGTCAAGTAGGACTCAGCGACTACGCTTTCGTGAAAGTAAGTATTTCAACCAGGTCTAACCAGGAAATAGCTTACAGACTTGCAACGAGTAATGAATACGCAGAGAGGCTAACGAACTAAATTAGTTAGTCTGTTTCACGTAGAAAATAATTTACTATCTTAGGATTTTGTTATTAGTATTAAAATTTCTCAAGTAAAAACTAGATAATATATATACAACTAGAAAGGAAAACAGAGAGTGCAACCCTCATCCCACAATATTTATAAGTTTTGCAGTAACCAACCAATTGGCTTCCATTATCTGTGAAGTGGTTGATCTTCAGTGTGATTTTGACCTTAACACACATTCTCTAAAAGTTAATCAATAGGTTTTTGAGGAACACTCAATCTTTGTATCTAATTTGAAGCAAATAAGATGAAAAGTTTATACAGGAAAGCATCAGTAAAAAAGACGAAAAAAAGCGAAAAAACTTTTGAATATTTTCAGTGCTGCTCTTGAGAAAATGTTTTCGACAGATTAGATGTATATGTTTAGTATAAACTAGACAAAAGTCACAAACTTTTTCATAATGAAATTTCCAATTTGTGTATTAAGCTTTATACCAACAGTTTTTTTTTAACTGTTAGACTAATTTTAAATGTTCTGAGAAAAGTTTTTCTTTTAAGTTTTAGAGAAAGTTGACTAGCAGTGTGAATACAGAATTTTTAAGTATACAATAATATATATATATATTAGAAATAAATAGACAAATTGATAGGGTTACACAGGAGTGAACGGTTTTAAAAAGGGTCGTACTAGTTGTAAAGTCATTTGAGTGCTTTCTAATCCGCTTTAAGCACATTAAAGTCGATTTAGTGTTTTATAATCCGTGTTAAACGTATTAATTAAACAAATAATGAAGTCGCTCGAGTGCTTTCTAATCCATGTTAAAAGCACATTAAAGTCGATTTAGTGTTTTATAATCCGTGTTAAACGTATTAATTAAACAAATAATGAAGTCGCTGGAGTGCTTTCTAATTCATGTTAAAAGCATTAAAGTAAACAATGAAGTCGTTTTAGTGTTTCTAATCAGTGCTAAGCATAATAAAACAAATAGTGAAGTCGTCTGAGTGCTTTTTTATCCGTGGTAAATGCATTAAAGTAAGCAGTGAAGTCGTTTGATTGCTTTCTAATCGCGTTAAGCTCACTAAAGCAAACAGTGAAGTCGCTTGATTGTTTTCTAATTTCTATGTTACTATATAGATTGGAACTTACACGGAAAAGAAGATTAACATAAGCCAAGTTCGTAGCTACGACAGCAATGGCCGAGCTAACAGTCTTAATGATGTCATCTCCACCTGCCTGAAGAACGACATCTGTGGTGAGAGAATTGTTTTTCGTCTTCCACAGGAAATGAAAATGATTTCAGACAACTCAAGCTATGTCATCACATCTTTGATGTCAATACACCAACCAGGAGAAACGTTCTTTTCGTGTGGATCACTAAATCTAAAAAATTTTCAGAATCTTGCAGCGCTTACTTTTGCTTTAGAGGAAGTGAACAAAAATGTAGGGTTAAACACGGGCAAAGTACTCGGGGCGTTAGTACTAGATGACTGTGGTAGCACCCAGAGGGCCCAGGAAAAACTGTTTCGCTATTTTGAAGATGAACGTGAGAACATGTTAAGGACATCGGGTCCAAAGACCCAGACTGTCATCACTGCTCTAACTTTCGACCATCAGGTTGCGCTAGAAGTTTTGCCAATTTTGCAGGCTAGTGGGATCCCTCAAGTTAGCATGTCCCCCGTGTTGTCAACTGTTACCGAAGAGTCGATTCTTGCTATTCCAGCCTATCTCCACTTGCAAATATCAGCTGTAGTAGCGCTTTTGCAAAAATATCATTGGACATATGTGAATGTCATAATAACCAATGACGAATTCGGAAAAGAAGCACTTTTCAAATTTTCGAAAATAGCAAAAAGAAATGGAATTTGCGTCGCTCAGCTTGTCAACGTTGACGTTGGTTTCAATGTTAAACAGATAACAGCGGAGTTATCTACATTTTTCTCGGATCCAAATGTTAATGTCATAGTACTTTTAACCAATGAAACCACAGCAAGAAAGATTATTTGGCAAGCTGCTGAAGAAGCTAATATTCTTGACCGATATGTTTGGATTGCTACTGAGAGCTGGAAAGCTGACCATCATTTGGCGAGAACTTTAAAGAACACCACAGTAAACGCTTTCGTAGTAAGATTGGAAAATCATAATATCCCCGAATTTCGAGAATTCTTCACTAACATGACGCTAAGCAGACACGAGCCCTTCCCTGACGCTTGGTTTGAAGAGTTCTGGCAACACCATTTTCGGTGTCAACTAATTAGCAGCCTGGTTGCCCAACATCAGTACCCGGATGTTTGCAGCGGACAAGAATTTTTTATTGAAGAAAACTTTCAACAAGCGGACCAGGTTTACTTCACCATCACAGCTGTTAGATCGATAGCTCGAGCATTACGATCGCAGTTGGCCAAACGCTGCCAACCATTTTCAAACATGACAGACTGTGAGGGCATAGCAGGTATGTTATTGGCTCAAGAAATCAGGAAAGTACTAAAAAACCAAGAAACCCAATGTGAAGATTCTAGATGTGGTTCTATCTTTGGATACCAAATACTTGCATTGCACAGCCATTCTGAAGGACAGTATTCTTATAGAGTGGTAAGTTTTGTTTGACATTCTAACTTACTTTTGAACTCTGCATACGGACTTGTCTTCTTTTTTGATATAAATACCCTATGAAATGATAACTTATGACGTAGACATTTAAATTATAATTGTCTTTTGATAGCATTGTAATAAGAAATATTGTTATTATTTATTATTTTCCGCTCCACTCAGTTCAAGAAATTCGATAACCTGACACTTTCCAAACGGTAGTTCTTCTTTCTTCAACGACGAATTGGGGAAGTCGTCTCTGAAAAGGAAATATTCACCTTCTAAAACGCCCAGTTTATTGGGTTTCATGAAATATATAAAGAGGGATCTCCCTTTCCGATAGGTGTCAGGTTATGGAATGACCCCATGAATAATTCACACTAGAAATTAGAGATCATATGAATTACACAAACCATCACACAAAAACATTCAGTTCATGGCCAGGTGATTAGGGCGCTCGACTCGCAATCTGAGGGTCGCGGGTTCAAATCCCCGTCCTACCAAACATGCTCGCCCTTTCAGCCATGGAGGCGTTATAATGTGACGGTCAATCCCACTATTGATT